TGAGCAATGTTATTCACGCGTCGATACTCAAAGGAAAATTTAAAGATGAGGAAGTTCTTATTCCAAGGATTCCGATGATCCCAACAGATATGCCCTTTGAGTTTAAACGAATTCAATTCCCGATTCGTCTTGCCTTCGCCATGACGATCAACAAATCACAGGGCCAATCTTTGACTATTTGTGGCCTCAATCTAGAAAATGCGTGTTTTTCTCATGGTCAATTGTACGTGGCATGCTCACGTGTTGGCAAACCATCCGCATTATTTGTTCTTGCACCTGACCAAAAAACGAAGAATGTCGTTTACCACAAAGTGCTTGAATGAAAATCCGATCATTAAATTAATCAGAGTGTATCCCAACCTGAACAACATAGCTTTCAACAATTTTTTAGCTAGAAATAATGATAGGGCAATGCAACGTTTGCCGGGCCAGCTAGTATAGAAATAAACAAGTAACCGACTGTGGAATATTCATTCACATCCCATCAGCAATTTAGTAGCTAAGTTTACCACTAATATTGTAGAAAATTCCGTTTTTCCGATTAGCCACGCTCCTACTGAGCGTAGACACTTTATTTTTGGTAAGTTTTTAGAACGAGCTTACGGTACCCTAACTGCAAAATTTGAATACTTACGCTCAAAAAATATGAAAATTACAGGATATTTTAATATGCCACGCCCCGAAAAAGGTGTCAAAATAATGTTCAGGTCATTAATAGAGGAGGTTACTTGTAACTTAACTATCCAAATTTGAAGCTTCTAACTCTTAAACTGTAGGAGATATAATCTTTTGCGGTTTGCCATGCCCCCTTTGGGTGGAGATAGCTCGTTGGACTTGGGTGGTCAACCAGCGTATATATACCAAATTTCAGGTCTCAATGGTGTCCAAAATATAGCAGAATTAAAAAAATCACTATATCTTCTGGCCTGATATGCCACGCCCTCCATGGGCGTAGATAATAATATGTCTTCTGGTATATCGGAACATGCATTTTTCGATTCGATTTTAACACGAGTATGTGTTCCAAATTTCAAGTCTCTAGATTCAATGGCGCCGAAATAAACTGCGTTAATACGGAAAGACGGACGGACAGCAAGACTTCGCACAAAACCAATATACTAATACACTTTCGTGAAGACTGCTCGATTACGAGATCCCCTGAACCCTTCGAGCACCAGCTATTTCAATCATTTTTCGCGTCATTCTGCTTACACAAGAAACACACGCACACACATACACGCACAGGCACCCACGCATAAACATGCATGGGCTTTTAGATCATGATTATAATAATGCATGCAACTCTAGTATTTGAAATACACTTTTTACAAAGGCGGAGGATATAAATATTAAAAAAATAACTGGATGAGGTATCGATATTTGGTGACAAACTCGATATCCACGCTGTATATATGGACATTTAAAAAATTAAAATTAAAAATTAAAGTCTCTAGCTCTTACATCTTCTGAAATCGTCGCGTTCATACATACGGACAAACGGACGGACAGACAGACAGACGGACTGGGCTAAATCAACTCAGCTCGTCGCCCCGATCAAGAATATATATACTTTATTATACTGCCACGCCTCCTTCTGCCTGTTACATACATTTAACAAAACCATTATACCCTGATTTCCCATTGACAATGGGTTCAGGGTATAAAAAGAAGGGGAATATAATATTAAGAAGTAAAAATATCGTCTATCGCCCAACGTGGGGCTCGAACCCACGACCCTGAGATTAAGAGTCTCATGCTCTACCGACTGAGCTAGCCGGGCACTAGTGGGTACTCCGAAAATAGCAAATTTTGGAATTTATTGATACTCTAGATATGGGTATGCATATGTATATTTATTTATAAACATACATATATTATTTACAAATATAAAATTCAACGAAATTTTAAATTTTCGTTAGACACAATGTAAATTTGTGAGTAGACAAAGCCAATTTAATCTTGAATAACACAAATGTTTTATAATGTATTCATATTCATGAATTAGTTACGTTCAAATTAAATGTGAGTTGCCTAAGAGTTACACCTGTACTCACAAAGCGTCGAGTAATAAAATTAAATAAACCCGATGTAGATGTTTGTACATAATTACTGAGAAATATATGTACATATGTGGGTGTTGTAAATGCTATAAAATATCGAGCGTACAACATTAAGCTAATACAGACTGATGCAAATATTTTCTAATAACCGTATTCTAAGAAATTAAATGAAAATATTTTTATATATTTTTAGGGACACTTTAAAGTGAAGTAAATAATATATTAAATTAGTGTAAAACTGAGCTAAAAGGAATATCCCGGGATCTTTACGTGGCCCGGCTAGCTCAGTCGGTAGAGCATGAGACTCTTAATCTCAGGGTCGTGGGTTCGAGCCCCACGTTGGGCGACTTTATTTTTCCTCTATTTTTAATTTGTTTAATCTTGTAGGCAGATTCTTGCGTCTACAACGGGCAACATTGTTCAGTGAAAACAAAGCTGATGTCTACTTATAAAAGAAAACCCACGAAAGGAGAAAAAATTGATGGGAATATTGGAAAAAAATGCGAGAATCAATAGCGAACGATTCAAATAAAAGCACGTTTAGAAAATGTATAAATTTGAATGCATAACACGGCACTAAGCTGAAATACACAACAACAGCAGCAATAGTAAGTAGTGGCCACAACAGCAACAAAAATATAAAAAGCAAACAAAAATGTATAAAATACTTATTATTA